GATAGATAGATAGATAGATAGATAGATAGATAGATAGATAGATAGATAGATAGATAGATAGAGGCAGATAGGAGAGCTTGAAAGGGGTTGAATGAGGAAAGATGCTAGAACAAAATGATGTTGTGGAGGAGAAGAAGGAAAAAAAATTTTAATTTGCCTAAGAAGGGCCCCAGTGTTTCCACGCCCAAGTCTGAAATTCCATCAATAAAAAACAAACCTTTCCCAAGAGGTTAAAGGCATTAAAATATAACATCCCACATGAGAGGAAATAGATCAGCATAAGCTTATTTACACCAAAGTATAAATGATTGAGATCAGGTACTTCCCTAGTTTTAATCATTGGGAAAACTGCTGTAACTGAAGGAATTTTGGATCTGGAGTCAGAGGAAGAGCAGGAAGAGAAGACTTCTAGAAGTTGAGTCGTGAATGAAATGAAGAATGGCTGGGGTTCTTCCTGAACAGTGGTCTGGACAGGCCTATTACTTCAATGATTAAATAAAAACTTTTCTAGCATTCATAGCCTTACCTCAACTTGTTTTTCCAGCTTTGTTACAAATTGCTCCCCTTCCCTATTCCTAATACCAGATGCTCCATTTCCTATCTTTGTGTCTTTGCATTCCCCATATTTTTCCTTCTCTCTACCTTTTAAGGTCCCTAATCTCTAAGTTAACTCACACACTACCTTCTAATAAGGCCTTTCCTGATCCTTCTGTTGCTGGTATCCTCTTGCCCCCAGATTGCCTTGTATCAATTTTGGATATGTCTATACACATACTTATTTCCTTACCTGATAGAACACAGGTATCTCAGTGCACAGAGTTCCAGGCTGGAGTAAGGAAGACTCATCTTCCTAAGTTCAAATCTGGCCTTAGACACTTACTAGCTGGGTGACCCTGGGCAAGTCACTAAAGCCTGTTTTGCCTCAGTTTCCTCATCTGTAAAATGAGCTAGAGAAGGAAATGGCAAACAACTTCAGTATCTTTGCCAAGAAAACCCAAAATGGAGTCACAAAGACTCAGACACACTGAAAAACAACAATAACAAATTATAGTTGGTTGTGCTCTCCGTAGGGCCATATGAGAAAATGCTTGTATTGATGTTGCATTTTAGCATAAGTAAAAATAAAATAAATTTAAAGTTAACCCAACTTTTTTTTTTCTCTTCTGTAGGTCCACCAAGATCAGCATTATGACTGATGGTGACTATGATTATCTAATCAAACTCCTGGCCCTTGGAGATTCAGGGGTGGGGAAGACTACATTCCTTTACAGATATACTGACAATAAATTCAATCCCAAATTCATCACTACAGTAGGAATAGACTTTCGGGAAAAACGTGTGGTGAGTTTTTTTAATTTAATGTACTCTTCAGGTGCTTCTTTCATATAAAGATGGAGATGCTTTCATTAAATAACATTCATGGGGCAGCCAGGTGACTCAGTGGGTAAAGCACCAGTCCTGGGGTCAGGAGGCCCTGAGTTCAAATTCAGCCTCAGACACATAACACTCACTAGCTGTGTGACCCCGGGCAGGTCACTTAACCCTAATTGCCTCATCAAAAAAAAAAACAAAAAACAAAAAACAAAAACAAAACAGACAGCAGTAAATAATATCCATTTACTTCTTGTAGTGAAACTCATAATCTTTGGCAGTTCTTTTTGATCTATAACCCTACATATTCCCTTCTAGTGAAAAAATAATCCTTGGATGGGAAGGATACATTCCTCATTGACAATGACACTCTATAGTTTGTTTAAATATAAAGAGTATCATACACAACTACGGGAAATCCATGTGATTAGCACATTCTAGAAATCCTAAGAGGTTGTTCTAACACTTTAAAACTGAATTCCTTTAGAATCCATTTACTTTTTAAATTTGGGTCAAATTGTATTCTATCAGTAAGAACTAAAGTTAAACTCTTTTGTCTTAAGCAAAAAGGCCAGAAGCTTCCAAAGATGACTAAGTCCTGAAAGGTACAGACAAGGCAAGCACAACTTCATGAGTATCTGTTTATTAAGAGACAGAATGGTACAAGAGAAAGAGCATTGGTTCTGGAGTCGCAAAGACCCAGATTCAAATCCCATCTCTGAGATTCATTACCTTGTGTGACTTTAGGCAAGATACTTAGCCATAGTCCAATCCATCCTTCACACTGCTAACAAATCTGGCCTAATGGAAAGAGGGCCAGACTTAGGGCCTGGGTGATGAAGATCTTGGGCAATGCACTTAACCTCTAAGAGCCTCAGTTTCTGATTTGTAAAATTGAATAGTAGTGATCACACTCATAGGATCATAGATTTAGATTTGAAAGGAACCTTAAAGACCATGAAGGCCAACTTTCTCATTTAAGAGATGAGGAAACAGGCCCGGAGAGGGTAGTGACTTACTAAGGGTCATATTTCTATAAATGTGTTACTGTTTGTTCTTGTTTTTGAGTCGCGTCCAATTATTCATGACACCATTTGAGGTTTTCTTGACAAGGATACTGGTTTGTCATTTCCTTCTGCAGCTCATTTTACAGATGAGGAAACTGAAGCAAACCAAATTACATGACACACCCAGGGTCTCCCAGTTGGAAGTATCTGAGGCCAGATTTGAACTCACAAAAATGAGTCTTCCTGACTTTAGGCCCAGCAATCTATCCACTGTGCCACCTAGTTGCCTTTTGTTGCTGTTAGACACACACAAGTTGGACTACTTGGATTCACTTCCATTAAAGCTACTGTTGATGGTCAAAGGAGCCATAGGCAGCAGCACCAGCTGTGTTGCTGTGCGATTGTTGCTCATGATAGAAGACATCAATGTGTAAAACTGGACGATTTTCAGTCCCCACTCTCTCTTCAGGTCCGTTTTCTAAAAGAGAACTTAGCAAGAACACCGGACTCCCTGTACTATAGCACTGAGGGTCACTCACTAACCACTCCACTATCTGCAGTCAACACATTTTGTTTCATTTTGTTTTTAAAAGAGAATCTCCCTTTATAAATGTTAGTTATAGTATAAATTAAAGTTGATAACTAAAAATGGTCAGGAGAGATACTGGTCAAATGCATAGGTCTGGTGAAATAGCAATTGCTACTTCCCAGTTCTAATTGTCAGTCACTTAACATTTATTTAGAGCCTAGTGGGCTCGAAACAAAGCATCAGAGATAGCTTTGTGAAGAGAAACAAAGCAACGAACAGAGGGCAGCCCTCTACTCAAGGAGCGAAGCTAAGGTACCCAGGTAACATTGTCTCTCTTTACTCATCATTCCCTTTGTCCCAGAGGACCAATTGCTTGGATGTTATCCCAAGCATTAGTATATAGAGATAAGGACCTACTAGCACAAAAATATTAATTGCCACTTTATATTATTTGTCTAATGATTGCAAATAGTGAAATAATTTATGGTATGTTATTAGAATGAAATATTTGCGATCATGTCATAATAATGAGAAACATGAAAAATACATAAACATGGAAAGATTTATATAAAGTGATACAAAGCAAGGCCAAAAGAATGGAAAATATGAACACACACCAATTATAACAATACTGAAAACAAAAGACAACAAAATTTTATTAAATACCCAGATGGATTTGGCAGAGAAACATAAGCATAAATAAATTATTAAAATTTGTACCAAATAATTACTTTTCTATTTAACAAGGAAATAGTTTGGAATTTTAAGTTTTTAATTAGAGATTTCCTCTACAATCTTGTGTGTTTGTACTTGTTGAATTCAAGTTTATAATAATAAAATACTTCTTCAAAGATAATGTGCACTATTATTGCCTTACCTGATACAGTCGGGTGTGCTAGATAGGACGGTGGTGTTAGGGACAGAAAGATTGTGGTTCAAATGCCCCCTCAGACCTTATTAGCTCTGTTATCCTAGGGAATTTGCCCTACCTCTCTTTGCCTCTGTTTCTTCAACTGTCAAATGATATGGTTAAACTTGGTTAGCCTTTAATGGTACCTCTCAGATCTAAAATCTATAATCATTAGGCCAATTCAGGAATTTTTTTTGCTTGATTATTCACATTGGTCACAAAGGCTTTATTTTTCTTCATTTTTTCCCCCATGGGAGGGAAAGGAAATTTATTTTGTTCATTGAAAAAAAATTTAATTTTAAAAAATAACTAAGATCTATGAGTCTTAGTACCATTCTAATGTTCAGTTTTTCTTCAAAAATTCCATCCTGGTCAAGACCTTAGCAATCTGGAGATTCCTAGGTCTAAACATGAGTTTGTTCCTGTCTTGAATTGTCTCAATTATGAAGAGGTATTTAATATATCTTTTGTCTAGGCATGTAGGATGCACTTTATAATTGTATTATTTTTGGCAATTCCTGGAAACTTTGAAGACAGCTTCTTCCTCTCCTATTTTCCCATGTGAAGTATTTTCCAGTAACTCTTGATCCTGAGTTCTATTTAAACAGAAAAGGTTCTGTTTTGCTTGATTTCATTAAAAAGAAATAGATACCAATTTAAAATGAAATATTTTCTTTTAAGACCATGGTAATCATGGTTAATAAAGGAATCCGTTAAAGGCCTGATGGAAATTCATCACAGAAATAAGATACCTACTATATTGTTTTGCAATTTCAGCAGCAGCCGCCATAAGCAAAGACATTCAAGTGAGGAAGGTACTCAGAATTTACTTCTGAGGATAATGACAGATTGTGCTCAGGTAGTAAGTCTAGAGATTTTTGAAAATCTAGCATTTATAGTCCATTTTTTAATGCAAATTCTTAAGTACTTATTGTTAGATAATTGTGTTTACATTTTTGGGAAGCAAGATATATTTATTTAGGGTTTCTGTGAACTTTGACAAGAGTGACTTAAAGAAGGTGTGGGAGTGAGAGAACGTTGATGAAGTGGTCTACTATTGCTGCTTCAGCTGAATAATGAATTGATGATTTTTATATTTGTATATTTTAGGTATATAATGGTCAAGGACCAAATGGATCTCCAGGAAAAGCTTTTAAGGTACATCTTCAGCTTTGGGATACAGCTGGACAGGAAAGGTAGGTATGGTAATAACAACAATAACAATAATAGCAGTGATAGCTCACATTTACATAGTACTTCATAACATAAACAGCACTTTACTCACAGCAAACAACCTATAGGTAAATTCCCATTTATAGATGAGGAAATTGGGGTTCAGAAAGGTTAAGTGATTTACCCAGGATCGCACAACTGTAGATATTACAGCCTGGGCTCCTGCATTAATCTTCTGGTTTTATTGCAGGCAACATTGCACTTTTTAGCTTCTAGCTTTAAGTTTCTAGTGACCCAAGACCTTTTCTGAAAATTGCTAATATCGGTGAGTAAAACTACTGGCAATAATCATAGTTAAAACGTACATAGTGGTTTTAGGTTTGCAAAGCACTTTACACTTACTATCTCTCTTGATCCTCAGAGCAGCTCTCTTTAGGTGCTATTATTATCCCCATTTTACAGATCAGGAAACTGAGACTGAGTGGTCAAATGACTTGCGAGCTAATGACTTAGCTAGATATAACTAGGAAATGTATGAGGCAGGATTCAAATTCAAGTCCTCTTGACTTCCAGATCACTGCTCTTGCTCACGAGTCACAAAATAAGTATCTATAAAAAAAGAAGCATCAGGGGTATAGTGGAGTCAAAAATATCTGGGATCATCTCACCTCTGACACAGACATGTAATTATCTCTGAAACTGAGGCAACTCTTCTTGTTATAGGTGGATTGTGACCTGCCTTGTGGGAGGGAGTTCCCACAGGTACAAAACCAGAAGTAGTTGTCATGTTGGTGTGTTAAGATATAAAAATAAAGAATTTCTAGTTAATTAAGATAGAGGCTTAGAGAACTCACTGGTGAGGACACTCCTCTACCAATGCAGACTGAGACCTTCTCTGCCACTTACAGATTCACCTGGAGCATCGAGAGGTTAAATAACCTGCCTAGGATTATGGGGATAGTGAAGTCAGGTCTTCCTGGCTCCAAGGCTCATTCTCTATCCATCATGACAGACAGGCTGCCTCTCTCTAGATAATTAAAGATGACTAATAAGTGAGCCTATATTTGGCAAGCAGAATTCTGAAGCGTCATCATTGCATTCTTCTCCATGAAGATAACTTCTTTCAAGTTGTCTCTGGTTTTTGGTAGTAGGTAGGGGTGAGCTCAATTAAGGGGAAGTGAAAAATAGAAGATACATATGTAAAGATGAAAATATGCCTAAAAACAGTTTAAGAAAAAGACTGTTAAGCCTATATCAGGCTTATCTCCCATCCTCCCCACCATCCCTTAGAGGAACTTTTTCTTCCATCTGTATTAACCCCATCTATGCTGTCCCCAAGTATGTGCACACTTCTCTCTCCATGGTTTTGCCCATTTTATCCTTCTTTTCCTAGAATGCTTCCTTCCCTTCTCTCTTTCCATCTTTCCAAATTCTACTCATTCATTGTAATTCCACATGAAAGCCAATTGTTTTTTGGCTTCAACTGAATGATGGAGGGAAGCAAAGACACCCATTCATTACCATGAAGTCTTCAAGCTTCACAGAACAAGAGAACCCTTGTTCTTTTCAGAAGCAAAATGACATTCCAACTTTCCCTGGGAAGAAGCCCTTGCCTAAGGCCCCTAAATACCTTGACCAAGAACTTAACTATTTTGGCAATTTGAGTGATTTGACAAGGACCCTTCTGTTAGCTCTATCTTGAAGGCATCTCATCTGTTGTCCTTTTACCGAATTAAATACATTATGGTTATTTAATTTAATTGTACCTGTTCCTTTCTCTGGCCTCCCTAGCTAAATCCTTGAGGGCAAGGTTGCTATTATTTAATTTAATTCAATTCAACAAGCATTCATTAAGCCCCTATAATCTGCCAGGCATTGGTCTAAGTGCTGACAATATAGAGACAAGGACAAAATAGTTCCTTATCTGTAAAGAACTTGCTTTCTATTGGACAAGAAGAAAATAAGTACAAAATAAGTAAATATTTTTTTAAAATTTTGTGGAGAAGCAAATTAGCAGCTGAGTAGATCAAGAATGGCCTTGTGAGGAAGGTTGAATTTGAGTTGGACCTTAAAGGAAGCAAAAGAATCCAAGAGGCAGAGGTGATGAGGAAGATCATTTTAAGTGTGGAAGATAGACTGTGAAAAAACAGGAACAGGGGATGGAATGTCATGAAGGGGAAACGGCAAGTGTGCCAGCTTAGGTGCAATGTAGAGCCTGTGAATGGAGTACTGTGAACTCATCTAAGTGAATGGATGCTTTAGGCCCTCTCTGCCAGAGTCAGCCTATGACATCTCCCCTCAGTGTTCTAGGTACCCCAAACAACTAGAGTATCCTCCTTCTCTACTGCCGTCACTCAAGCCCCCAGTAACTGCTCTTCCTCCATTGTTAGGCTCTTGTGACTAGTATCCCTATTCCACTTAACCACTTAACTTTGATGAGTTATTACAAGGACATATTTATTTCCAAGATAGAGCTAAGACCAAAGTACAAACATGTCCCCTCCCCCCACCTCTACCTCAAGGGGCATCCTCTTCACTATATTCTCTCAGTTTCTAGGGGTTAGGCTCTAAACTTAATTGAGTTCTTATATATCATCATTCCCACCAAGTTCATATGCAAAGGTGGCATATCTGCCAGATGAGTCCTTGTCTCAGTTACCACCGGGCTGAGGTCAGTCCCAAAGATTACTTTTTGCTCTGTGGGGCTCTAATGCTGCATTTGTTGTAGAACCCAGATTATGGAACACCAAGACACCAGAGTATCCTCCTAATGACCTTCACAACTCAGTAAGACATGAGAACTTCTTCACCTAGAATAGAAAAAAAAAAAATGAAAGATGGCCCTAAGTCCTATCCCTTTACTGCATGGTTTCTCACCAGATGCCAGAAGTGAGGGAGTTCCACTGAGATCCCTCAAGAGAAAATGAGGCAAAAAAGGAGGTAGCTGATATTGACAGGCCTCTTTGAAAGCCCCTGAAGTCAATCAAAGAGCCTCTTCTTTACCATGTGTCTAGAGGACTGCCACAAGCTATGGAATATCTATGTATGCTCTACCATCTCTACTTTAATATCATCACAATTCTCCCAGAAGCAAGATCCCTAGTGTCCTCCACATGGAAATGTTACATCAACTGAGCAAATTGTTGGGGTCTTCACATATACTAGTTTTTGCTGTTGTTAAGTTGTTTGTCAGTCAACTCTCCATGACCACATTTAGGGCTTTCTTGGCAGAGATACTGGAGTGGTTTGTCGTTTCCTTCTCCAGCTCATTTTACAGATGGGGAGACTGAGAAAACAAGGTTAAGCGACTTGCTCGGGATCATACAGCTAGTGTCTGAGGCCAGATTTGAACTCACAAAGAATTAGTCTTCCTGACTCTAGGCCTAGTACTTAATCCACTGTGCCATCTAGATGCCCCACGTATACCAGACCCCCATGATAATAGAGTAAAACTAGATTATGATGGGCTTTAAATATCCAACAAAAGAGTTTGTGTTTTATCCTAAAGACGATAGAAAGCCACTGAAACTCCCATAGCGGGACGGACGTGACATGGCCAGCCCTGTACTGTAGACATACCAATACCCCTTTAGCTGTGTGAAGGATAATTTGGAGAAGAAAAGGCTAGAAGCAGAAAAATAAATTAATCAATCAGGAGGCTATTGCAATGGTTCAGACAGAAAGTGATGGAGGTATGAACTGGGAGAGTAGGGTGTACATAGGGAGGAGGGGCTGGAGACAAGAGACGTGGAGGCAGAATCAATAGGACTTGGCAAGTGATTGGATATGGGAAGTGAGGGAGACAGGAGAGTCAACAAATAACTTTGAGGTTGTGAGCCTGTGTAGCCTGCAAGGATGGGGTGGTAGTGCCTTTGGCAGAAATGGGAAAGTTAGCAAAAAAGAGACTTCTTGTGGAGAAGATATTGAGTGCCTCCTTGGACATGTTCATTTGAAATTGTTCATCTTTGTATCCCCCATGACAAAGTGCCTGAACAAAGCCAGCTTTCAGATACTTACTTATTCATTGATTTTGATGTGGGAGGGGAGGCTGATTGTTATCCAGTACACTATATAAATGTGTATTTTGTGTTGCTAATACTTGTGTGGAATATGGCCAGTCTGAGTCTTACAAGGTATGGATTCTGATGTTGGCTCACTCAATCTTCAGCCTTGAGCAAATCACATAGACCTCTCTTGGGCCTTATTTTCCTTCTCTGTAAAAATAAGGGAATTGGACTAGTTCAACTCTAAGGCCTGTTTCAATTCTGAATCTATATTCTAACATGATGTAAAAGCTCAGTCAGCAAGGTAGTAGCATATTCTTAATTATTGCCATAAAACCATTCAGTGAAGTGTAAGGATAAAGATCGATTCTTTTTATTTTTTCATGTTCCTTAGTTTCCCAGATCTTATAGACACATATTTTTCTCCTTCCCTCTCTGCCCTATCCTCAGAGTTTTGATGTTATAAATGATTCAGTTTTTAAAATGGATCCAAAATACTCATAGTTAGGCCTGTAAATGTCAGGAAAGGTGCTGGGATTTTTTTTTTTCTTAAACTGTGAGCTCTTTATAGCTTTCATCATAGTTATGTTCCCTTTGAAGTTATTACTCTAACAATCTTCATATGTCAGTTTTGTTATCACAGACCACATATTTTTTGGATATTATGAAAAATAGGAAAATGCTATCCCCACAATGTAATGGTGTTTTCTATTTTGGCCCAGCCAAGTGGAAGAGATGGTCCATCTTGTATCTTAATAATTGCTGCTTTAGGAGGCAAGGCAGGGTGAAAACAGGGCAGTCTTAATTATCATAAGTCATTCTTCTGTTGAGAATTCTTCTGCCAGTTTTATATGTGGTATGTTTGTAGGCTAGCTAAGCAAGGCCTATAGTGTCACATAATCCAACTGCTATACCTATGGTATACACCACGATAATTTCTATGTTATTATGTCATTGAAAAATATGTTGCAAGGGCAGCTAGGTGGCACAATGGATAGAGCACCGGCTCTGGAGTCAGGAGGACCTGAGTTCAAATCAGGCTTCAGACACATAACACTTACTGGCTGCGTGACTCTGGGCAAATCACTTTAAGCCTAATTGCCTCACACACAAAAAAAAAAAAAGAAAAAGAAAGAAAAAGAAAAACACATTGCCCTTACAGGAAAAGTCATACCTTTCAAGTAAATCTAAGGAAAACAAGGCCTAATCTTACTTGGTGATGCAAGTTGAGTGATGGTGAATCTCTGGGATATGCTTTCTTTATCTCCATGGAGGGTAATCATACCAGATTCACCACCACCCCCAGCCTTCCAACTAATTCAAGCCAGTAGGGTAATTAAATCAGTTATTTTGCCAGTCAATAAACATTTATTAGGTATCTACTATGTGCCAGGCACTATGCCTTAACTACCAAAGCAGTGGTCAGTGAAAAACACTTAGAATAATATTTGCTGGACAGTTCTGAGATCCAAGATATTCTAGTGCATAAGTCAAATTTAGATGATTTTGCACCAGGATGGTGGGGGAAAAAAGCCTTTCCCTCTGTTATGTCTGCCAGAGAATTTTTCTTTTTTAATCTATGACAATGGAAATCTTCATTTGCAAATAAAAATCATTCGAATATTTCTCCATTTTCGTGCCCTCATGTTAAAAATGTAATTTTTAACTTGATGCAATAATTTGTTGTGTAAGACTTTGTATCTGCCACCTTTGTCTTTATGCCCTTTGCCTCTCTTTTCTTCTATTTTGACAAATAATTTCCCTTCCTTGTTCCAACACTCTTTGCCTTACTTGGAGCTCATGGTCAAATTCTCATTCATTCATTCCTTCGTTCTGTCAATCATTCAACAAAGATTTTTATCATATGCCTACTTTGTGTTACTCTGCTACTACTGTGGAACATATATGGGTGTATATGTGTGTATTTAATATGTTTCTACCTTCTTGTTCCTTACAATTTAGTTAGAAACATAACAAGAATCATTGTAACTAGTAACTACTCCCATTTCTATAACACTTTAAGATTTGCGACAAGCATTCTTCACAACTCTATAAAGCAACCAATTAGTGCAAGTTTTATTATCCCCATGTTACAGATGAGGAAATTGAGGCTGAGGGTTTGAGTGACTTGCTTATAGTTTCATAGCCATAAAAGCGTTAAAGTTAGAATCCAAACCCAAGTCTCCTGATTTGAAGCTTTCCCCACTAGACTTTCCCACCTCCTACAAGACAAAGGTTCAAGAGACACCTAGTGAATGGTAAGATTTCAGAACAACACGTCACCAAGCACACAAGAGATGGGTATAGTTAGTGTGGAGGTAACCCAGAGCAAAGGAAGTAATCAAAATCAAATTTAAACTCCTTCTTATAAAAAACTTCAAGGTTTTCCATCTTGATGACAATTTCCTCCACACTTGAAACAATTGCAAACCCTTGGGTAATCTCTTCTTGTGTCCCATCTGTAGTCCTGTGGAATTCTCTGCAGTGGTAAGTAATGGACAGTAATTTCAAAAGTGAGAGAAGGCATAGGAGCAACCCTGTGGCAAAGTAGAAACATTCGTCAGAAGAGCTCATGCCAATCTGAACTTATTGGTAAAATGAACACCTACCTGGCCTCTCTTGAAGGGTTGTTGGGCAGTAAGGTGCTTTATATAAATTGTTAAAGACTACTTAAGGGCGAGCTATTGTTACTGTTGCTTCAGTGACTCTATTACTGTTATTAATATTCTTTCACTGTGTTTTCTTGGCAGATTTCGAAGTCTCACCACAGCATTTTTCAGAGATGCTATGGGCTTCTTATTAATGTTTGACCTCACCAGTCAACAGAGCTTCTTAAATGTCAGAAATTGGATGAGTAAGTCAGACCAAGTAGCTTGCCTGCACCGCTCTAGAACCTAACTTATGTTTTTGCATATTTTAATGGTTTGCCTGGATTTTGCTACATTGCTTCTAGAATGCAGATATGTTTTCAAGATGGAGTTTTGATTGCCAAACCCAGTGACTTTTCTCAGCCTTCATCCTTTTTTTTTTTTTTTTTTACTATTCCCTCTTCTTGGATCTTCCTTCTTCTCTGAGAATTTTTGACACCACTCTCTCATGTTAATCCTATCTGTCTGGTCACTCCTGTCCATTTCATTGGGTCATTATCCATGGCCTACCTCATAACCATGAGGCTTTGTCCTGGGTTCTTTCATCTCTACTCTCTCAGTAATCTTGTCAGCTCCAATGGACTTAATCATTATCTCTATACAGATGATCCACAGATCTATATATCTACTGCTAGCCATCAGCTGCTTATCAGACATTGTTCAACTAGATATAGACCTCTCGAGTCAACATATCCAAAACATAACCCATTAGCTTTCCCTCAAAGTTCACCTCCCCTTTCTGAACGTCTCTATTTCTGTCAAGGGTTTCACCATCCTTCCAGGGTCCCCACACTTTTGGCGTCATCTTTGATTTCTCATTCTCTCTACCCCACGTATCCAATCTGTTGCCAAGTCTGGCTATTTCTGCCCATAAGCCTCTCTCATCTCCATACCCTTTTCTCCCCTCAGACCACAACCACTCTAGTTCAAGTCTGATTACCTCTCAGCTGAGGTATTGCAATAGCTTCCTTATTAGCCTCTTGTATCCAGCTTCCTGCCTCTCCCAATCTGACCTCTAGATAGTTACCATGGTGATATTCCTAAAGCACACGGCTGACCGTGTCACTCTTCTGCTTAAAAAATTCCAGTGGTTTCCAGTGCTTTCTATAACCACCTTCATACTCTGTTGTGTCATTTTAAGCTCTTTGCCATCTGGGTCCAGCCTTCCTTTCCAGACTTATGACGTAAGAATCTCCCCATGCACATTTCTCTTAATCCAGACTGTCTTCCTGTTCTTCCCACATAATATTCCACCTTCTCTGCCTATTCCTATCCCCATGCTTAGTCCCTCCTTACCTCTGCCTCCCAGAATCCCTGGATTCCTGAAAAATTCAGCTCAAGCACCACTTTTTATTCTTTACATGAAGTCTTTCCTCATCACTCCAGCTGCTTGTCCTTCCCCTGTCCCCTATTAATTTGTATTTACTTTGTATGTATTTTCTATTTATTTATATGTGTGTATGTTGTTTCCCCAATAGAATGTAAGCTACTTGAGGGCAGGGAATGTTTCACCTTTGTCTTTGTATGCCTAGCATCTAGCAAGGTGTTAGGCACATAGTAGGTGCTTAGTAAACACTTATTGGTTTGATTTGATTGAACCAGGTAGTGATAAGTAAAGTTGGATGTGGTTAGTTAACAGTTTAGTCTGTTTTACATCACCATCCCTGGTCATGCAAGATGCTTGTCTTTGTAGTGGTGCTGTATTGTCTGGCAGTGAAATTGGCTTTGTTCTTTTGACCTCTCAGAGAGAAACATTTCTGGCATTGCCATCAAATGTACTTATGAGACTAGTTATCTCATTTGAAAAGCCATTAATTCCATTTCTTTAGTGTGCCCTCGAGTGCCTCTTTAAACTAATTGAGCTGGCACGGAGAAGGCATGGGAGAAAGAAGCTGGGTATATACTGAGTGGGAACACTTACACCTGAAATTTACATGTACTCCTTGGTTAAATGGGCTTGCGGCAGAGCTCAAGAGATACCTCTCACTTTATGAGAAGAATCATTACTGGGTGTGTGTGTGTGTGTGTGTGTGTGTGTGTGTGTGTGTGTGTGTGTAAGCAAGCAAATGGAGAGCTAAGCCTATTCTATTGAACAGGTGACTAAATGTGAAAGAATCATGTATGAAAAAATTACTCCCCAGGCTTCATGATTGCTTGAATGCATTAAGAATTTAGGATAATGGCAAAGGAATGACTTGAGGAATGGGTTACACAGAATGTTTCATGAGAACAACATTTGGACAATTTTTCTTTCTGAAGACTGGGATAAAAATATTTCAAATGCATTTGAGATTATCAGTAGAGAAGTTTTTAGTTCACAAGGCCAGAGCCTCCATGCAAAAGCTTGCATACTTCAGTGGTTAAACATTATTGTCATCATTGCGCCATTTTCCTATAAAAATTTTCTTTTTAAAATAAATTTTACTAATATATTTTGTTTTTACATTACCTAAATTTCCCCATTTCCTCTCCTAGAGAACCATTCTTTATAACAAAGAATTTTTAAAAAGAGAGGAAAAAGAGAAAAAAATTCAGCAAAATTGATCCCACATTGAAAAATCTGACATTACATACAATGTCCTACACCCATGGATACTGACATCTGCAAATGAACTGGAGGAGATGTCTTCTCAAATCTCTATTTTGGGGCCAACCTTGGTTTTTATATTTCACAACATTCAGTTTTAATTGTTTTACAATTATTATTCTATTTACATTATTGCAGTTATTATATATATTGTTTGCCTGACTCTGCTCACTTTACTTTGCATCCCTTTCTGTAAGCCTTTCTATAAAAAAGCATATTTTCTACATGATGGAAGAAAGTTGGAATTCTGGATTCTATATGTGCTCATTAATATGAATGCAACCAAAGGCCAAAAGCAGAAAAGTCAGACTTTTTCTTTCAGATATATGATTTGCACCAATTTTCTTTTATTATTCTCCTTCTTCTATCATTTGAAGGCAGTTAATTGTCTTGACTTCTAGGATTAGGAGTTAAGATGGTAGTCCATCCTCTTTGAGCATAGATGAATGTCTCCCATATTCAGACCTCTAGGGAGAATGTGCATTTTTCTAAGATCATTAGGTACAATGTTTTGGTAATCCCATTTCATATTATACCATCTCTAAACTGAAAGTAACATTGAGTAGCCACGTGATACAGTGGAAAAATGGGAAAAACGGACACAAGAGGCATCTGAAGACAAAAGATCTGAGTTCAGATTCTGCCTTTATCATTTAATATTGTGTGACCTTAGGCAAGTCACTTAAATTCTCAGGGCCTCAGATTTGTTTTTGTTCAGTTGTATCCAACTATTTTGACTCTGTGGAACATATCACACCAATACCATCTATAAGGTTTTTCTTGACAAAGATATTGAAGTAGTTAGCCATTTCCTCTTAAAGTGGGTAAAGGCAAATAGAAGTTAAGTGACTTGACCCGAATCACACAGCTAGTAAGTGTCTGAGTCTGGATTTGAATTTAGGTCCTCCTGACTCTAGGCCCAGCACTCTATCCACTAAGCCACTTAGCAGCCTTTTACAAGTTACTCATCTGTAAAATGATGAGGTTAGATGTAATGGCCTGAAAGGTTCTTCTCAGCTCTAAATCTATGAGCTTTTAATCTAGAGGCCATCTAGTTCAAACTGTATCGGAACAGGAATTTCCTGTTCAACATCATCCCTGTGAAGTGGTCACCCAGCTTCCACTTGAAGACTTCTAGGGATGGGCAACTCAATACCTTTACAAAGCAGCTCATTCCACTTTCTGAAAGTTCAAATTGTTAGGACATTTTCCTAATTCCTAATAAATTTCCTAATATTCCTAATATTCTAATATTGAGCTGTAATATACCACTGATACTTTTATCCATTGCTTTCAGTTTTGTGCCCTTGGGCCAAGCAAATTAGTCTAAAGTTAAGGTTAATGTATTGTAGCTTATCTACTTATTTTTCCTCTGGCTTTAGAATAGAATCATAGTTTTGGAGCTGGAAGTAACCTCAGAGGTCCAACTTACTCATTTTTCAGTTGAGGATACAGACCCAGGAAGTGAAATGACTTGCTCAATGGCAGAGATAGTATTTGAACTTATCATCTAACTCAAAATCTGGTGGGGTTTTTTTCCCATTCCTCCACAATACCCACTTTGATAATCCTTTGTTGTTTTTTTCTTAAATTTTATTTATGTTATTCTGAACTTAAGAAGTAAAACCAGCATTTCCATAACATATAAAATAGAAAAAAAGATGATTGTACGTGAAACATGAAATCTATTATGTACTACTTGCTATTCCTTTTAAATATATAATAAAGTTATCATATAACTTTTCTTTCTTTTTTTCCCCTTCACCCTGTCCCAAAGAAGGTTACCATTAGACACAAATATGTATATGTGTAAAACCATTCTAAACATACTTATATTTATCAGTTCTTTCTCTGAATTATCATAACTCAGACTACTTTTTCGGTTTGGATAAATAATACTTTATATACCTTAAATTTACCATAGGAAAGTAGTCAAAAAATTCCAGGGAAATACCATCAGAAATCATTTTTAATTAATGACTCCTGAGGAGAAGAAAGAAATATTTTTCTCCTTGTTAAAACTCACTCTTTGGTTACAAAGTAGGCTCTGAAACTTTTTTAGTGGTCCTAAGGAAATCTGCTTCTTATCTCCATCACCATGGCCTCTGGGAGAGATGAAACTTTTCAAATGTGTAGAGATAATGAAAAATTTTAGTCCTCTTGCTTCAACTCTGACGTGAATTGACCAATCAATCAATAAACATTTATTAAGTGCCTATTATGTGCCAGCCACTGTGCAGCACTGGGGATACAAAAAGAGGCAAAAGATAGTCCTACCCTTAAGGAGCTTACAATCTGATCTCTAAGTTTGTTTCCCTCTATGCTTTTATGGGAAGTATGAAAGCCATACTATACCCAGCTCCAAACGGAAATAGGACAGACTATGTGTGTGTGCTCGTATGTGTGAGTGTACATGTTTATGTGTGTGTGTGTGCATGTGTGTGTGTGTGTACTTCCTCACACATTTATGTATGTTGGGGGTTATTATTTTGATTAAGCACAGGGAGAATGAGCAGTCACATGTGACTGATGTTGATTTGCTCTTCTTTCTTTCCAAGGCCAACTGCAAGCTAATGCTTATTGTGAAAATCCAGATATAGTATTAATTGGCAACAAAGCAGATCTTTCAGACCAGAGGGAAGTCAATGAACGGCAAGCCCGAGATCTTGCAGACAAATATGGGTAAGTTAGTTATTGCTAAAATTCATCCCACTCTGCTGGCTGTGGCATAAGAACCTATACTAGGGCTCTTCCATGAGATTCATGACACATGAATCAATACTCAGCAGTGGTGTGTATGAAAAGGGACCCTCCATGATTGTAAGACTTCTGGAGGAGCTCCAGGGAACAGATACAAACAAAAGTCAGGCCCAGCCCTGCCCTGAATCAGCTTATTCTCCAATATCAAAGATACCTTTTTGTGCCATTGGGGTTTTGTTTGATGGATGGATTTGGTGTGGCTGGCAATTAAAGGCTATAGGAAGAAAACTCGATGAATATGAATATCCTCATACTTACCCGGTCTGAATGCTTCTTAGAACAGATAAAATTCAATAAGCTCTGGATTGGGGATTATTAGGCTTCAATTTGTATCTTGTCTCCACCACTTGGACAAGTTAATACCCCTCCTGCTCTCAGTTTCCTCATCTGTAAAATGATAGGGCTGGACTGAATGATCTTTGAGGCAGCTGGGTGGCGTGGTAGATAAAGTGTTAGACTTAGAGTTGGGAGGACCCGAGTTCAAATCTTGCCACAAACAGTAGCAATATGACCTACGGCAAACCACTTAACATGTTAGCCTCAACTTCTTCAATTGTAAAATAGGAGTATTAATAGTGCCTACCTCAAAGGGCTAATTCTGAGGACCAAATGAGATAAAATATGTAAAAGCACTTTGCAAACCTTTATGTGCTATATGAAAGTTAGTTATTAGCTCTCACCTACAGTTTTAACATCATTTGACTTGTTTAAAAAAAGAAAGGTGGTAGCAACTGTACAATTGTTGTGGTCCTTGTCTCTTCCTGTGGGAAACCAAGGTGGTATTTCCCAACCCACCAGGCAAGGAGATCTATCAGTATTTTTTAACTTTTTCTGAGTCTTTTTTAAAAGTTATATGGCTTTGTAGTACCTGTTTGGCAGCTTATAATGACATTTTCCCCCTCCTCTCACGAGTATTTGTTGTCTGTTATTGTCACTGCCAGCATTCCCTATTTTGAAACAAGTGCAGCAACAGGGCAGAACATCGAGAAACCCGTGGACACACTTCTGGACTTAATAATGAAGCGCATGGAGCAGTGCGTGGAGAAGTCACAAGTCCCCGATGCGGCCAATGGAGGAAATTCAGGGAAGCTTGATGGGGAGAAACCAGCTGAAAAAAAATGTTCTTGCTAGACTTCACCTTTTTAAACTGATAATCAAGAACCTCACCCAAATAGTTGATCAGAAAATGGCTGACAAGCCACATAATTGATGAGTGAGCCTTGCACAGATACATTTTATTTTATTTTCTTCCAGGGAATGAATTTTTAAACACCACCGTGATCATCAGTATTCAGTGGACTGGACTATGAGCTATAAGGCCTGACAGGTCTGAGTCTGAGCTTTCCCAACACAATCTCTCCATTAGGGACATTCAGTCGATTCTTTCAGTTGTTGTTTTGTTGTGTTTTTTTTTAATTTTACAGAAGCATTGAAATCCTCCAATAAGTAAATGAAAAGTGGGAGGGAGCCTAAAATCAGAAAGAAAGGAAATCACTTGTTGCATATGAGTGGGGAAGAGAGGGGAATGATAAATTGATTACTGAGAAAGAATATGAAAAAGGGCTTTTCTTAGATTATTTTCACTCATATGGAGACTAATGATTCATACTTTTGTGTTTGCATTGGTAATAATGTATTAGCTGAAGAAAATCTGCGAGTGACAAATTCTCTGGAGTTCATTAAAAATGACCTTATTTTAGGCACACAGTATGTAGCTTGCCCTATTAAATTACTGATAAGGTGAATGGGAGGATAAATATCTAGCTTTTGATTAAATTCAGAAAATTGTGTGATAATGTCATTTCTGTGTTCCTAGTAAATGGCAAGTAGAAGATAACAAGATTAGATAAGATGACATATAGGCAAAACAACCAACCCAAAAAAGAGCATGGAAGGTTGACATTAGCTAGTACAGAAACGAGACGTATAAGGTGTAGTTTTCTGGGAGAGCAATTTAACCAGACTTCATGCATGTCCAAGTTGAAGCTGATGTTACCATTGGGGGTGACATTGAGAATTCCAGGGGCTTCCATTTCCTGTGAAAGGTCGTGAGGCAGTATAGTGTTCACTCAGCAACACATTTTACTTTTTCCACTAAATGTCACTCAGACACATGGAGTTTCTCCTTCTTGGAATGTTATAATTAAGTTTCATTCTCAAAGAAGTCATCTATGAGACTATTGGGCTTTTCATCTCTTCTTTGTAGAATGAACCTCAGTGAAATATTTTGTTTTCTTTAAAAGTAAAAAGTGATAATTAATTGTAGAGGATTAGGAAAGTCACAGACATCCTGAACCACACTTTTCTGCCACCCGGTTCTTTTTGTCAAAAATGCCATTCCAACTCAATTGATCTAGAACTACTGAAAACAAAGGATCTTTGCTTGGGTTCCTTCTGAATTTGCAGATCTTCAGGAAGACTATGAAGATCAAATCATGATATGGTTCAATACATATTTTTATTTTTACCTATTTCGAGGAAAATGCAAAGTATGGAGACACATTTGGGGAGGAGAGAATGAAATTTATTTAGGTAAGTTCATCCCAACAGTGTATTTCACAGGGACTGGTTTATCATTATGGCTAAGCTATTATCATATTTGATCCACAGCAATGATATTATAAGGTCTTGATAAATAAACATATAAAAACTTTCCCATGGAACCTCATTCTTTACACAATGTTCTAGTCACTCTTAACTATGAATTAGGTGCCTGATGAATATTTTACTTTATTTAATAGAGATAAAGATCCTTAACTTTTTTTCCCCTTTCCTTCAGAGTAGATACTTTTTGAAAACCATTAACTGATATCTACGACCATAGAAGTGGGAGAAATGTTAATGATTATCTTCTTCATTTGTTCAGATAAAAACATAGTTTTCCCCATCCCACGAACAGTGTCTTCTCTGGCCATTCCCATTTCCTTCTATCTCTTATGCCTGAAATCTCCAGTTTTTCCACTTTTTGCCCCTGCATTACTCTGATAGATAATTGTCAGCTTTTATAGGGTCCAAAAAGATTGTGTGTTCAATTAGATGACTTTATGTCTATTTTTATTCATAGTCCCTATATGACCTCTTAAGTTTTGCGGCTCTTCATGCCAAAGAACTATTCTCTGATAATTTGGGAATGAAGTAAAGGATCAACATACCAACAAAGCTATTGGACCCAGACTTGAGGTGGGAGGGACATGGGTAGATGGCTGTAGTGTGGACAGTCTTTGGAAAGGGCCAAACTGTGACGGTAATTTAATTACCGTCATAGTTTACTTAATTTAATTAAGTAATTTAAACTATAGTTTCACCTTCTGTTTGTAACATCCTCTTTGGCACACACACACACACACACACACACACACACACATGCACGCACATGCAGAGTCTGGGTACACTTCTGATTGCCAGTTCTGTCCCTCCAAGATAAAGTCCAGAGCTCCTTCTTCACATTATTTTGGCACCAGTAGATGATAGACTTTTTTTTCCTAGAGAGACACTATTTTGAAGAATTTAGACAGCTCTGCTTTAAGAAAAAATAAACCCTGTGTTTGGGGGAAAATAAACCAACATGAAATTCCTTCCCCTTTAAAATTCTAGCCAGCCAGTGTTTCTTAGTCACCAAGGCAATGTTTTTTTTTGTTTGGTTGTTTTTTTTTCCCTCAATGCCTCTGGTTAGATTATATTATATTGTTGGAATTGTCCAAAATGTATGTAAAGCTCTTTTTCCAGTGTAGAAATCATCTCTGTTGGGAATCTGCACTGGTTTGATGTTTACATTGCTCTTACCTGGTGCCTCAGATATCTCTGTGACCAAAATTGGCTTTAGCCACATGGTATATTTGTGGTAATATTGTATAGATTGGCAGCCTCTCTTGGAGTTTCTTACAGGGCTACAGAACTCTTGACAATAACTCCAACTGAAGTCCACCTGTCATAAATCCAGCTCACTGAAATTGCCAATCTTCATTTCTTTGCTAATGTTCCCATTAGTCAAATGTATTTACCATAATTAAAGTTCAGGTTTATCCTTCAAATGGCAAGCCCTTTGGTGAAAATAGGTTGAGCAGAGTTGGATTACAAATTCTCTTTTTTCCAGTTTGGGGATGGTAAACCTTTGTGGATTACCAGCCAGAACTCCAGAATGCTTTCCTTACCATGCAGGGCTCTGGATAGTCAGTATCCAAATAAAATTATTCAGAGGACTTTGCAGACAGTCAGCAATCTAATTAGCCTGCTTTCATGCCATGCTAAGGTGTTGGCTATCTCCTACTGCCAAAACAAACAAACAAACAAAAATAAAGATCAGTGTTTTCAAAAGTGTTTGAGTGAGGACATTAACTCTGAATAAATTCATCACAACCTGACCAGAAGGGCTGTGTTAGTTGAATTTCTGTGTTTTAGTGGCTATGATTTTGTCATCCAACTAAGAACATTGTCTTGTATTGCCAAAGTATCCATTTGGAATGCTTTAGGTGAGGTTTGGGATAACCACTCCATAGAGAAAATTCTTATTTTTGATCTTTGCAAGGAGGAAGAAAAGCCAGCTATGGGGAACGACTTGATATTTTTCTGTGAATCAAGGAGTATTTTTAAATTCTGAATAAAGTTGATTTGAAAACTTAGCCAAAAGTGTCTCTGCACTTAAAATTCCCTTGACCAATTTACCTGGTCAGACCTTGAAACACGTTGTCATTTTTAAAAAAAAGTTAAGTTCCACAAAGAAACCCCAGGAAATTCATGGGATAAAATTATGTAATGAGTGCTTCATTTAACCAGTGATCAAGGGGCATGGGCTCTGCTCCCCAGCATGCTGTGTGATCATGAAGGACAGCTAACTTCTCTTTGTCTCTGGTTACTTAAGTAGGCAGGACTCCCTCTTGATCCTTATGAATCTCACATAGAAGGTATGAGATCTAAGACATATCATATCCACAAAGCATTTTGGAGAGAGAGATGTGGTATAAAACACAAGATACAAACACGGTCTAGGGAGAAACTTTGTCTCCCTGACCCAGGAAGATTTGAGTATTGGATTTATCCATCGAGATAATGATTTTTCACTTTTAACTACCAGTGCCCTTTAGACTATTAATAGAGTCAAATATTTTTAAAAATCTAGATTGCATGTCTTAGTAAAGCTTTTCCATTTCCAAGGAAATCTATAATATCTAAAGAGATCATTTTGGAATACATCAAGAATTTTATTTCTTTCTTGGATTTTTTAAAAGGTGATTTGAGCATATTTGAGGCAGGGAGAACAGAAGAATGCTTAGGCATGGTTTGAACACTGAGCACTGAGTGGAGAGCATTGTTTGCTGAGCTAAAAGGTGCCCAGATGTTTAATGAAGCCATGAAAACAATGATCTAGTATGACAGCCTGAAGAGAGACGTTAGCTGAGCAGCCTTTTATTAATCTTACTGACTAAGGATTCTTTTTGGATACCAAAAGACAACCAAATTTGGGATTATATTTGTGTAGCCAGAGGTAAGTAAAGAAACATTTTGTTAAAGTTACGTGTGTTTAGGGGATAAAAAGAGTTATGTTTAAAGGACTGATTCTATGTAGAATAAAAGACATTGGCAGGGAGCTATTTTGTAAGAGATATATGGAAAATATTTATCAATCACTTTTCTCCCCCAGAAAATCATTTAATGCAGGGGGTGGGGATGGAGGTGGGGAGGGTTGGATATACAAACAAAAGAGGTATTTCACTACTGGGTTTGCAGTTGGCTATATTTGGAGAATATTTCCTTTATTCTGTGTGAATGATGTTTTTCTTTTCAATAATGCTCTTGAGGGACTTAAGGAATAGCATCCCAAAGACCTTTTTCAGTGAAGTTCATGTTCAAAGCTAGAGGTATTTTTCCACTTTCCTATTTGAAGAAGAGGTCATAAAATTCAATTTTGGAGCTGTGAGACTGAATAACAGGATGACTCTAACAATGACATTTTTAGGTGATTTTTTTTTTTTAGGCAATCAGGGTTAAGTGACTTGCCCAGGGTCACACAGCTAATAAGTGTCAAGTGTTTGGTCTGAGGCTGGATTTGAACTCAGGTCCTCCTGACTTCAGGGCCGGTGCTCTATCCACTGTGCCACCTAGCTGCCCCTAACAATGACATTTTTAGAAGAAATTTCCAAAGAAGTAACACTTTGGTAGGATCTTTTAAATTTTGCTTCTCAGGCAGAATAGTTCAGTAAAGAGGGGATTGGACAAGTTGGAGACCTTCCCTGCCACTAACTTGCTGGTCTTTTAGCAGATCATCTCTCTGTAGGCCTGTTTCCTTAAATGAAAAATGGTTAGGTGACCCCAAGGGTCAATCTAGCGCTAGCTGTCTCTGATTTCCTTTACTCAGCTGAACACATTGGCAATGACCCACCACCCCCATGTATTCTAATGTCGCAAGAATAGATTGAACATGAACTGAGATTTCCATTCTTAATGAT